ACTCTTTCCATCCTTCAGTCCTTAACACCCTCGACTGTGACTCATCAGTGACTCCTCTGAAGCTGCACGCATCCTCCAGTTTCAGCGGAGACGTTGCAGAGGCCGTGCCCCACAGCGCCTCAGTTTCACCACACATATGTCCTTTGTTATTTTTCTAGTGGAGAGGTCGGGCTGAGACACAGATTTAAAGGTCCAAGTGGTGCTGAAGAGCTGCTGTGGACCAGGCAGGTGTAGCAGTTGGTCTGGTAACAACATGGTTTAGAGAAAGAAGCTTAAACCGACTCCCTCTGAGGAGCCGCGCCAGACACAGTTAATACGCAACAACAGTGTTGGAGTGCTGCTTAACCAGACCTGCCAGTGGTGCTATATGCTGACACACTCAGTCACTATGCCGACGTTTAGCAGGCACCACAAATATAAACATTCATGAGCCACCATGTTGGTACAGGGTAGTCTCCTGGGGTGTGTGTGTGTGTGTGTGTGTGTGTGTGTGTGTGAAGGCAGGAGGACTGTCCATTACATAACACACTGAACCTACAGCCGATTTTCCAGCTGTTTGGTTTGTTACAAATGTAGAAATGTATTTTTGATACAGGAAGCCTGGTTACATTAAAGATGTAGATACTTGTATCACAATACTTCGTTGTAGAGAGTGACAGCGATAGTTCTATAAAGTAATATTTAAGAGGAATGTAGTCTTCGTAATTATCTAAGTTTATTCTTTTGTGTGACTAACCTATGTGAAGTACACAGGGTTTAATGCGCCCTCTGCTGTGTCTGCAGGGTTTCGGTAACGTCGGCCTCCACTCCATGCGCTACCTTCATCGGTATGGAGCAAAGTGTATCGGAGTCGGAGAAATAGACGGAACTATCTGGAACCCCAACGGCATCGACCCCAAAGAACTGGAGGAGTACAAACTGGTGAGTAGTGGTGATAAGTGAACAAATGGGACTCCAGACTGGTCAGTAAATGCAGCAGACCAGCATGCCACCTGTTGGAGAACCAGTGTCAGTACCGCAGCTGAGTTCTCATTAGCTTGGGGTTTTCTGTGAGCTTGCTGCTGTGACACTTCATTGCTCCTTTGGTATTTTGGATCCTCTAACTACATGTGGTTTCTGTCTGTCTTAGGCCAATGGGACCATCGTGGGCTTCCCGAACGCTACGCTGTATGAGGGAAACATCCTGGAGGCTGACTGTGACATCCTGATCCCAGCTGCCGGCGAGAAACAGCTGACCAAGAGCAACGCACACAAGGTCAAAGCCAAGGTAACAACATTCATTATGTAGGCACACAGT